ACATAAGAAGATGTAAGGAAAGAACTTCTTGCGCTTAACAAATTTAAGTCCCCGGGTCTTGACCAAATACCGGCAAAAGTATTGCAAGAGCTCGCTTCTGAGGTCTCCATACCACTTTCACATATTTCCAGTTGCCTTTTTATTGAGAAATTCTCCCATCTAACTGGAAATCAGTTAAAATCTAGCTTAATCACACGGGTAGATTCAGAACCTGTGCGAACAACTATCGGCGGGTGAGCCTAACTTGCATTTGTTGTAAAGTTGTGGAAAGGTTTATTCAAAAGGCTATCATGAATTTTCCCAAAAAAAGCCTCGTTCGATAGTGCCCAACACAGATTTCAAGGAAACCACTCCTGATTGACCAATATGCTTTATTAAACTGAGCAGTGGTCCAGGTCATTGGATGACAATATCAGCGTCGATGTCGTCCACACCGACTCCAAAAAGCCCTTGTTAGTGTCTCACATCAACGCCTACTCTATAAGGTCCGCGAATCTGGGACAAGTCTCCTGGATAGGAGACTTCGTAATAGGCCGATCGCAGTCAGTCTGCATTGCCATTGTTAAATCCACTTCAGTATCAGTTGTCAGTGGTTTACCTCAGAGCTCCGTTCTTGGGCCATTTTTGCTCTTTATCTACATCAACGATTGTAGGTGTGGACTGGACAGCAACGAACTTCTGTTTATAGATGACATAAAGATATGGCAGCTGAGTAAGAGCAGTAATGGTGAACAAATTTCACCTAAAGGAACTAACCGTCGGTGTGAGTGGTCCAATACATGGTTGCTGAAATTCAACTTTGACGAATGTGTCACACTTCTGCTCAAAACAAAGAAGACGAGCACCGCGGGCAACTCATACCAATACTTTATTAATGGAAATTGTTTGTCAAATGTAAACGAACAAAAAGAGCCAGAAATCACAATTCTGTCATCTCTGAAGTTCTCATTTCGATACGTCAACCCGGCCAGCACCAGCCCCTTTAATCCTCTTCATGCTCCGCGAGGTAAGAGAGGGATTTGGCAGGGATGGACGTGCCGGATACATCCTCGTGATGCTGTCGCAGTGAGTGCGGGTTTTCGCGTACCTTCCGCCAGAAAGGAATCCAGTTTGACCTCTGTCATTTGTTCCATTACTTCCTCAATCTCTATAAAGCGTCATAAAGGCATCTTTAACACCCTACAAAAGGTATCTCCCCCTCTAGTATACTAAGTTTCTTCTAAAGTGAGTACAACTAAGATATTAAACATATAAGTTTACAGGCATTCATATAAGATATAAAAACGGCTTGGTTTACGTACTAGAATATCAATTTTGTCCGCCCTTCGTGAGTAATGGCAGAACTCACACTGACTAGCAAGGACTCAGTAACATACACATTTAAGCAACGTTATTTATTAAGTTTACTCATTTTGCCCTAAAAGGCAAATGTAGTCAGTAACTATCAGACATTTTGCGTTAATTTACTTCAATTATCCTTAAAATGCACGTATGTACAGCTTTTATTGCCTCTACACCATTACTGATCATTTTCAATTATCGCTGATGCTAACCTGACTGTGAGATGGGCCATTCCCAGGCTACCACCTTCTGAGCCCGTTCAATTAATACACCGGCACAAATTAGCTTAAAAAATCACTTCGAGTCAAGTTTTTACCCATTAAATATTAAAGAATTAAGTTAACTCCTCTTCTTTGAACACTTAAAGCTAGAACGGCCCAAAGATCCAATTTCTACACTATTATATTTACGATAATATGGAATGCCCTACCCAACGGTATTCGAAAAAGTCATAGTATAGTTGAATTTAGAAGAAAGACCAAACAATTCTTTTCAGATGACAACATACATATATTTTTAAATAAAAAGGACATTTCTTCAGCCAGTTCTTTAACATAGAATTTGAACCAAAAGGCATATGACAACCGTAGATGGCTCGCAATAATTGGAGAGACCAGCGATTGTTCTCATGTCCGTCCATCGACACGTGGATGAGTATCAGGGACGTTTAAACACTGTCTCCTTTCTAGGGAAGAATTTAAATTAAAAAAGTAAACTTAAAAGTACGGACTAGAGCTAGGAATCTGAGAAGCCCCTGCTTGTTCTCATGTTCCCTCCGAAGCAGGTCCCCCGCGCCTGGCTGATCATCAGGAAAATTTATACCCTGCCTTTTTTTACTGTAAATCTATAGCATATCGTTCTTTACAGATCTTAATCGTTTCTCATAAAACGATTTAACTGGATAGGAGAACAAACGGGCCTGCAGTTGAACTTGGCCATATTCTTACACCAGGTGGTGTAGGCGGGAGTGTAGGTGTTTCGTTTGCGCGTAAACACCCTTCACATATGTAATTTCGATTTCGGAGTCGATGGTCACATTGGACACGAGGAAGTATGCAATACCGCCCCCGCACTTTTACTGATAATGGGGCCCACACGTTCTTTTAATCACACCCACGTGCAGGAGTGTATATATAAGTAAGAGAGCAGTTAAAATCCACATAGAAGGCACCAGATTGTAATCCTTTGGTGTACACCTAAAATATGACCAATCTTTCGTTACTACTGCTGTTTGCTATTGCGCAGGTACTCGTATGCCAGGCGTTACCGAAATACCAGACGCTGGATGCGGAGAATGAGGCTGATTTGCTGGGTGGAGACCTAAAATTTAGCGCGCAGAATGAGGAGCAGAAGAGTCTCAAAGATGACGACGGAGAGCAAAAGAAACAGGATGTTGAAGAGATTCCGGCTCCCGCAATTAGGCCGTACCCTCGTATTTGTCAACGTATTATTTGCTGGCTGTTTCGTATGGATTTATAAATATACACACGCTACTGTAAATACCATAAATCTCCACCACTCCGTCCTTTACAGAGCTTAATCATTTCCACTAAAACAACCTAGGTGGGTAGGAGGGTAAACGGGCATGCAGGAAAACTGGGCCGTATTTTGAATCCACATTAAGTCAGCGAGAAGACAAATGATTCGATTGCGCCAGTGCCAACAGGGACTTAATAATATTAAGTTGGTTTGGCAGATTTGCTTAATTTGAGTTGACCCAAGTGTGAAAAACTCCAAGTCGTACTTTTTTTGTATATATTTTAACTATGGCTGATCCTTCCTTATTAGTGCTGTTTACATTTGTGCATGCACTTGTATGTCGAGCGTCATCGGCATACCAGGTTATGAGGATGGAAGATGGGGATAATGGGAGGAGCGGGGACCTGAAATTGGCCG